ATTACACAATATTCTAAAATAAAGTTGAAATAGCACGACGTCTCACATCTTCAGAACCTCACACACACATCAAATAGTGACGTAAAGTTATCCACAGCATCGAATAATCAATCAAACGTAGCTTCATTTGATATGATAATAAATTCGAAATATACTAGTGCGTTTAACGTATTACAGCAGATTACCAGGCCTAAATTACCTATCTATCACACGATGACGGATTTGATCCCGTAAGCAAAAATTAACAAGTCGTGAAATCTAGCAGAGAGGTCCCCATCAGATAAGATCAACGGGGAAAACGAGAAGCTTCAATTTTCTTGAAAATCATGAAAAAGCAGCCTAAAGCCATACGGTTAAGTGAAGGCAAAACAAGCAATGAATTTTTAGCTACTACCTGCGTGCAGGCCTATACACCAAAACAGACAAATAATACTGTCACAAAAATAAAAAAGAAATAATAAAAGAAAATTGATTCTTGCGTGTTCACTTTAAAATTCTGTTAAGTAAGGACAACTCTTTTCTGTGAAAAAAAGAAAAGGCCCTCACCCTGTCTTTTAACGGTGCCATGTGGTAATAATAATATCACTGTATCAGTAAAAAGAATCTTCATTTTTTTTATTTTTTTATTTTTATTTTTTTCACTAAAATTATACGAAATAAATCTTTCACACGCCCACGGCACACGTAACACCTTCTTAAATGATATTTATGTACTGATCAGGCAAACCATTGATTTAGTACTTCAGATAGATGACCAAAACAAATTGTAAAAAGGATTCAAGCAAATTTTGGACCACAATCCACAACTAGTTGATAGACTGTAAATGAAATAAATGGCCCTCATAACTTTTAAATGTTTAAATTAAATTAGCAACACTGAAATAGAGATAAATAATTGGAGCCTGTGACTATGCTTGAATGGTATTATTATTATTTTCCTATTTTGTTGAAATGCCATTAATAAATGGACGGATTCTATTGATTATGGGTACCGTGCAAAATCAGAATATGTGGTACAATATCACAAAAGGGCTCAGAAAATCAGAGCTGAGCATATGATTGCTTTGATGAGTTAGGTGAGTAGAAACTTGCATTAAAATCCTCTGCAGCCCATAAATGAATTCTTGCATCACATAAGTCTAATTTATGCTTCAATATTCTGCATAAAGTACAATAAAAAAACATCAAACTTTATTGTTTACACTAAACACTTTGATTGAATGTATTTGAAACACCAATTTTATCATAGCTGCTGAAAATGACAAGGGAAAAAAAGAAAAATGGCAAACATGAAACAGAGTAATTGTTTTTGTTGGGTAGAAAACAGACTTTCCTAAGGACAAAACCATCATTACATTAGAAGAAGACCAAANCGAAATTTAAGACAAAAGAAACTAAAATATACATATATACAGACACACACTAAGGGTTGAAAATGAGATTCCCACATTTACATTTCCAGCTCAAGGGCTTGTAATTGGTGGTATCATCATTCGAGCTTGAGTTTTGGATTCGGGCCTTAACTTGTGGGTTTGTGGTAGGAATTTGAACGGCCTCACAGTGCCTGCAAGATTCGCATATCCGCTCACAACGGGGCGGGCTTGACCCGATCCGGACCCGCCACATTGTCTTCTCTTCTTCCACTGTCTACCGAATGACCAAACAAAAAAAAAGGGAGAATCTTTTAGAAAAATCCTAAAGAAATAAAGAAAGCGCAGCACACGCACACACACTAAAAGCATTGAGCAAACTCTCACCTTGAAACTTGGATCCGTCTGTGGTAGTTTTCTGGCTGAAAAATGCAAAAAAAATAAAAATTAAAAATAGGAACATTAATTATTTACGGAGAGATATAATCACTTTGTGTAAATGTGTGCAATACAATAGGAATATGATTTTTTTGATCGTTAAAATAGGAATATGATTGGTTACAGTTCTAATTATCGTACCTTGGGCATGTAATATTAATGTGAAGAAGAAAATCAGTAGAATGAGCGAAAATTTGGTGAAATGGCGGTGGACGAGATTTTGAGAGCGGTCCATTTATGAAAGAAAATTGGGGACTTGAGGAAAATATGAAGTTTTGAGGTGAAAAGTTCTGTTCAAAATTGAATAATAAGTAGAAGGAAATGCGTCGTCTGATGTGGGTTTTTGGGATTCGGATTTCCTTTACTTATGCCTTTCTCCCTCTTATTACTAGTAAAGCGCACTTGGTAATAGATATAACCACGGACTGAACTGGCCCGATCAAGCCTGTTTACCGAGGGCTCGGAATTGGGCCTGTGGTTTCACTAGGCCTGTTCAGGTTCACATATTAGTAAATTTGTGAAATGGGGGTTTATGTTTCAGGGTCGGCCCGTAACCGACTCGGGAGACCCGACATGGTTATATATATATTTTGAGAAATGTTATAGTTACATAATATTGTACATAGAGGTGTACATAGCACTCACATTAAGTGGGTCCTACCAAAAATAAAAAATCAAGTGGACTGCACTCCATGTGAGTGTTATGTACACCTCTATGTACGTTTATTATGTACTTGTAGCATTTTTAATATATTTTTTAGTTGTTTTTAATTTTTTTTTCAGGTCGGGCCAGTCTGGAGCTGTTAGGACCGTTGACGACCAGGTGGTCATATTAAATCTGGACTGTTGGATTTTTTTTACCGTTGGAGATCCAACTATAGAATTTATTTTTTTTATTATTAAATACTGCTTTGGTTCTAGGTTCGAACAGGTCCGTCCGGAATCGCCAACGATCATATTTTTAAATATGGCTGTTGAGATCAAACGATCAAGATCAAATTAACCCTCCTGAACTAGTCTTGTAATGAAAGCTAATTTTGTTGATTCGATTCGATATTCGCGATTCGAATTCGTAAAATTCGAATTCGAATAAGAGTAATATTTTATATTCGAAAGTTAAACGAATTCGAAAGTGAATTTGTAGAAATTCGATTTGAATTATCAATATTCGATTGGTTAATAATAATTATATAAATTTTATAAATTATATATAATATAACATTTTTGTATAATATATACATATATATATATATATTAATTAATTATATTCTGGATCGAGTTGTTGGCGGTAGCATGACTTTGGTTTTTTAACGGTTTGATCTGTCGCATTTGTGTGAATTTTATGGGGTAATGGTTCAAATGCTTGAGTTATGTTAGATCCGTAGATTTTATTTTTATTTTTATTTTAAATTGATTCGAGTTTTAGCCAAAATTTTTGTGATTGGCTGGTGTATAGATCTTTACATGCAGCTGGGATTTGTCGAATTTGTTGGACGGTTGGCGCAGTTTTAGTAATTTCATTGATAAAATCTTGCAGGACCTCTTTGGAATATTTGATTTCTTTGTTTCAAAAAGAAGATGTTCCAGGAATGAAAAGTTAAGCCAAATGAACTTAGCAGGCCGATATTAAGAAACGAAATTGACATTCGAAAAAATCATAAACATGAACATATCATAATCAGGTGGTGGAAACTCAAAGTAGTCAGGTGGAATGAACATCATTAGATTGTCCATTGTCTTCTACCTTCCATTTCTGTCGTATTGATTTTTTGCAGAAATTGGGAAATTGGATTGAGAAATTTTGTATAGAATTGGAATTTTTGTTACGGTTTTTTCTTCTCAACATAGACGATAAATGACGCCTCATATTCTTGCTAAAATTGTCTTCAAAAAACCGTGACTGACATGTCACATAA